ACGGCCAATTCATCGCTCCCCAAAAGTGGCATTCAGGCAATTGCGAACATCAAAGCTAAAGTGGGTTGTCGCCCTACCATGCTGAAACCACATTCGGTTACAAATGAAGATCGGAACATCTTGCAGCAGTTCTGGTAACACCTGCTCCAAAATATAAGATAACGTTGGCTATTGAATCGGGGCGACAGTCGGTATGGACCAATTAAAAAGTCGTAAACGATAATTACCCACACATTCAACATTAATTCGTTGTTGAGACGCATGTAGTCGCGTTGCCTTTGGATTCTCAGTTGCCCATACATGAGAATTGTGCACATTAAATACACCCTTGCGTGTAAACGTTGCTTTATCAGTAAATAGCACATGAGCTGTGAAGTCCGGCTGCAATGCAGATTGCTAAAAAAGGCTACAGGCAGAAATTCAGTCACAGAGGATATTCTTGCGTATTTAGAGCTTGCATCTGTTGAAAATGGAATGCGTGTAAGCTATTTTTGTTTAGCACTCTCCAACTGGTATGTTGACTCACATCAACGTTTTGTGCAACAGCTCTTGTACTTGACTGGGGTCTATCAGCCGCATTGTTATAGATGCTTTCTTCAAATCTTGCATTGCACACAGTTTGTCGTCGACCAGAATCCTGTCTGATGACATGTAAAGAACCCTTTTCCCAAAGTTCAATATGTAACCACCAGAATTTTCTGTTATCCGCCATTCGTCTATCTGGAAACTGCGAGTGATACATTCGTATCGCAGCTCTGACAGTACCGTTTGCAAGGCCGTACATGTAATGCATGTATGCATTTTAGACGACAGTTTCCTCATTTTCGACGCCCTGCGCAGAGTTACCTCCTCATTTTCGACGCCCTGTCGAGGTAGCACCAGCAAAATGTATTTGCAGGTGTGAAAAAATGTAGAAATCCGAATGAGCGATGTCGCGGCTATATAATGGGTGAAGCAAAAGATCTCATCCGAGTCCGTAGAGAGTCCAGTCGGTGAATGCGGATACATGTGATCTTGTACTATCTTAATAAAACATTACCTTTTTTCGACGGAGCTCAATTCGACGTTTTTCCTTGATAACAGCGGGCTAGCATCTCGTTGTACACCTTACTGTCGAGGGTTTTAGATTTTTCACCAACTTTTTGTCGATATTACCACGGCAATCCCACCAAATACAAAGAATGATCTTTATGTTAGTCAAACTGCGGTTTGCGAGGCTGTCGACAGGCTCACCGGGCTCAGACCAAATCCGTTTTCAACCTACGTTGTTGAAGTAAATAAACTTTTGATCACAAGTGACGATCCGTACACAATTTTGTCTTTGCGTTGATATTTGAGCAGATTAGTACAAGCCCGAACACATTTACCCTTACCTGCATGAGTCAGCTCATGCGGCAACCAGCGATTGAACTTCATGTGTTTGAGATGTATAGCGCAACTAATGAACATCATTCTTAGCAAGTTCTCCAGTGGCTGCATACTGATCTTCCACAAGTTCTCGCTGGTGGGCTTATCAACATCTCGCAGGCCGACCACAGCTCTCTAATTCTTGAATGTCATAGTCCTTTCTTTTGAACTTTCGGTACAAACCTTTACACTGTCATATGCTACAACATAAATACCTAAAGACGTACACATGATTTGGTGTCATTCTGTAGCTGACATTTTGCAACAGAACAGGAAATAAATTATAGTTCTAAACTAGTAGCATGATAGTTCCATTTCAGACACGTTGCACTTAATGCTAAGCATATTATTTTACAATTAGCACAACATAGTGTTCTAAAGCAAGTCTCTTTCTTTCAAATGCCAAAAATCGTTTTGCCAAAATATGATTTTTAACAATACGGCGATATTTGCGGTGGCAAAAATCTTTCTTTAAAACCCGACATATATATACATAAAGAAACTTAATAAGAGGAAAAAATTATAAATTTTTTTTTTTAAACTCGTCTTGCGCTATAGCTGCAGGATTGAAGTAAAATAAACTTACAGTATTTAAAGTTAAAAGTAATGAGTTCTGAATTGGAGTTTCAATAAAGGGAGATTAATTTTTATATTTTTATTACCTTGTATATATTTTCCTTTTTTGCATTTTTAGTTTTCGAGATTGTACTACTATGATCATTTTTATTTTGAATTGTTTAGATTTTGTTATTTACAAGGATGCAATTATTAATATTGTTGAGGAATCGCCGTGTTTTGATTCCAATTTTCTTTTAACTTTAGATGCTTTAAGTTCATATATAAGAAATATATATATAGTATATATATAACGTAAAATAAAATGAAATAAAAACTACATTTAATATTCATCCCATTATTAATATCAGTTCGGAAGAAACCACATGCAGAAGCACAGTGACAAACTTCAACAGACAGGGGCTGGGAAATATATGCTAAAACCAATCAAACTTACGAAATTTACGAGAAAGACTTATAGAGATGCTAACATTTAGGAAATTTACATCTTTCGCTGCATCATAATCAGGGGTTGGTGCGATGAAAGAAGTAAATAAGTTACAAAATCCTGTTTCTGAACTAACTAAGACACAAATTAAAGTTTAAAACTTAAAAATAATATAGAAAATAAATCAAAGAAATTAAAGTAATCTCTGTCTGTCTGTCTCTGTCAGTACTCTGTTTTTATGAACTCGATTTTATGTAAATATTTTGAAAAGAAAGACATTGGTTTGTATTTCGAAGTGTACACTTCACACCATATCTACGGAAATCCCTACCCTTCTTTTATTTTTGCAACTGTTAGTGTAGGGATATATTTCTAGTTACAAAAGTGTTTTAAATAAGTAAAGATTCACGGTTTAATATTATTCTTTTAAACATAATTTGATATAAAATATTAAAAACTTTTTACACATTCCTTTCGTTGTTATACCTATATTTAAGAAATTTTTGCACTCGTTATTAAAGATTGAATACAAAAAGTTAGAATGCCACACGACAAAAACTGTAGTAAAATGTATGATATTAAATTCTGGAATCATATTCAGTGGCAGAGGGAAATGTTTGAATTTATACGTTGTAGAGACATTAGGATATTTAGAAGCCGGAGAGATGAAAAATTAACAATCGCCTTCGCCGGGAATCGAACCACGGACCTCTGAAATGCCGACTCAGTGTGTTAACACGAAGGCACGCTAGGAAGACGGGAGAAATACCTTATATACTCCCACTTTTAAAGGCGACTGGAGTTTCTAGGGGACCCAATCGCAAAATCCTGGGTGCGAAGAGTCACCATCCAACACCCTTTTAGTTCGGGCGCCACTGTAGAGACATAAGGATTTTTTTGAAGGATGGAGAGACGAAAAGTTAGCAATCGCCTTCGCCGAGAATCGAACCACGGTCCTCTGAAATACCGGCTCAGTTTGCTGACCACTGCATCACGAAGGCACGCTAAGAAGCCGGGAGAAATGCCTTATAACGTAAGTAAAAAAATCTGATATGTACACCACATGACTTCCTTGTACAGAATATTAAATTATGCGCATTTTTTCTTTCATTTCATCTAAATTTATTAGATTTAATTAAATCTGCTTCACCGATACCACATAAACCACGATAGAATAAATGCACTCTTTAAAATTCACTATATTTGTTTACCATAGTGGCACTTTGGCCCTAGGTTCACTTAACAGCGTTACATTTCATTCTGAGTTATAAAATGAGATCAAGAGACTGTTTCCTAGGACTTGCCTTGCACGTCCTAGGACGTTGCCATATGATATGCCTGCTATAATTGCTTTCCCGACTCTAAAGATCTCAAAGATGTCATTTCGGACTTCTCTGGATTTTCACGATCCAATAGGATACAAGAATTATAGTAGTAAAGTGCCTCCCAGGTCGAAAACTACTTACATGATTAACTGATTCAATTCGATTCGTTATAAAATATATTAAATATAACGCTGTTAAGTGAACCTAGCGCCAGAATGTCGCTATGTTAAAAAAATATAGTGAATTTTAAAAAGTGGTGGTGACGAATTTCTGTCCAACACTTCTTAGTTCGGGCGACACTATACAGTCATTAGACTTTTTTGAAGCAGGAGATGTGAAATATATGCAATACCCTAGCTAGGATTCGAATCTGGACCTCTCGAGTGCACGCTGAGTGTGCTACCGTTTCACCACGAAGCATGCAGAAAGGAGAGAGAAAATACCTTATAAAGATGCCCTTACAGGGTAGGGGGAAGAAGAAAGCACAAAACATTAGATACCTTATTTTAGATAAAATTAATTTTCTTTAATTTAAAAATATAAAAACATGAATCTTTGAGTTATTGAAAGCATTATTGTAACTGGACGTGTAAATCAACGATGAACATCTGCGAAAATAAAGGCTGAGTAAGGGCGTTTGAAGACATGGTGCATATTTCGCATTTATCCTTCTAGGAACTCACAAGAGATTTCGATATAAATTGTCATTCGTTTCATATACTGTTGATCAAAAAATAAGCTGCTTAGTAAATTACTCAGCCTGAAAATTTATATCTAGTAATATCAACGCTGTAAGGTAACTTGAAGTGAAACTGAGTTTCAAAAGACTGTCTAATGTTTCTAGAATTCATAAGATTTTAGGCCGAAATGTCTATAAACTTCTGTTCCTAGAGGTGAAATTTAAAACTGTTAACAAAATATATTCGTGAAAAAGGGAGTTTTGTCCATTAGGAGAAATGAGTCTAACCAGTCTTCCTGCATTAAAAGATTACTTTCAGATCTTTTCGATGATGTCGAATCATTAGTTTAGCTTTTCCTACGTTCGCGGACAACTTTTATCTATCATTCGCTGTTTAGAAAGTAACGTAACTGTTTTACATAACTGTATATAATTACCTAAGTATTAAATTACTTCTGATTATAATCAATGAGATAAATATGATGGCAATATTATTTTATGCTGACTATGCTTTTAATTGAAGGAAATCATTGTGGAGTTGTTTCTTGTATAGGAAAAATCTAATTAATATCTGTAATTTATTTACTTGGGCATCCAGCACTATTGGGACCTTGAGCAGCAGTTTTACCATCCGGACAGCAACCATACATTGATTCAGAACACGTCTTGATTAATATTACTGTAAAAGAAAAAAGATCACAATGTATAAAAATAAAAACGAAAGAAACATTAATATTTTCTTACTCAAAAGTTTTAGTTCATGGAAAAGATGCATAAAATTGTCATATGACAGTATGAATATCATGTCTTTCCTGCTTTCCCAAGAAATAGTGCTTTAAAAGAATTTTGTGACTAACTACGATATATATTACGTCATTACCACAAGAGTATTTTTCTAAACCATTAATTCAAAAATTACAATTATTAAAATTATATCATTTTCCTATTATCTGAATTCCAATATAACATTAATGTTCTAGAGCAGCGGTACTCAACCTTTTGACTAAAGGGAATCATCTAAACAACAATTTAAACGACCACTATATTTTACAATGATTATTTTTCAGTTTCTCAATAGAAATATCGAAATATATATATATATTTCGATATTTCTATTGAGAAATTGAAAGTCATTTCAAAGTATTTGCAGTCATTTGCACAACCCATTGGCTATTTGTATTAAATACACACACATAAAAAATATTAGATTGAAAATTTCGGGTTTTATCAAAATTTAAGTTATAATACTTTAATTCTAAAATTTAGTATGAAATGTGGGTCTGTTCAAGAGAGATCAATTTCATATGTCCGGTCTTATTTCACTTAACTCTAACCGTAAATTAGGATCCACCTTTAATTTTGTTCTGTATTTATTTTTTAAATAAAACGTGGAAGAAAATCCTTGTTCACACAAATATATTGTGCAAAAAGGCAATAAAAATTTAATAGCATCATTTGAAATGACTTTAACCCTCCGAGCGGCGCAGGATTTTAGATCCGTCATGAAGACCGGTATTTAAACAGCATTTATTAAAGAGTTTGTATAATTACTTATTTTAGTCTGTATTTTTATAAACTTACATTCATTAAGATGATATTTACATTATTAAAGAAAGTAAGAAAGCAAAATATCTTAAATTATAAGCTAATATATGACAAGTAGCCAAACTTCTGATGACCGGATAAAGCCGGTCATAACGCTCTAAATTCTCTTTTTCGGTTCAGCCAAAAGTTAACAAGTGTGTTATTTTTTAAATCTTTCAGTTAGAGTTCGATCACAGGAAATTTCTATCAATTGTTTTCTTCACGAAGTTTTTTAATTTAATAGTTAAAATACTTTGTTTCTTTGAATACGACCTACTTTCTCTTGCGTACCACCAGTAGTACGCGTACTACGGGTTAAGAATCACTGTTCTAGAGAGTTTGACAAGAAAAATTAAGGAATATAACGTCAAATTTCTAATAACAGGATAGAATTCACACTAGTATTATAAAAATTCTTCTTCTATTAGAATAGAGTCATATATGAGAATACAATCTATACAATTATATTTTAATGCATAGTCTTATATAATACATGAAATCAGTCTGTGGCTTTTATGCAACAGAAAAAATAATACTGCAGAAGGTAATTTGTATATTTTTCATTTGCAATGCTTATTTTATTGTTATGTTTTACCTAAATAAATTTTATAAATAAAATGTGATATTCAGTTACTGGCTCTAGACTGATAGAGAAATAAATAAATGAGATTTAACATAACCATCCACTATACAGATCGCTTAAGTTACCAAGTTAAAGCAACTTAGTACGCGCGAAATGGTCACATTGAGAATGGTATGCACCATTTTAATCACTTAGTCAGCTAATGTCTACGACGTAATGGGATATTTTATCGTAGATGTTTATGAGCATCATTATGTTCAGCATCATCAATGTCATAAAGCTATTAAAACCATTAGATATCAAACACTAGACAAGTGGTATTGTATGATCGTAAGTGGAACTAATTGTCCATTGTTCTGTCTTATATTCTTCGATGCGCCCTTATCTGATTATTCAAGCCATGTTAAAATATTACACCAAATTTAATTACGCTTATCGAAAACAATATTTTTTTAACTTTTATTGTCTAATAAATTAATGTCTTTTATTGTCTAAGATACTTTGATCAGACAAGCTGCACATCTTGTGAACTTATAATGTATCCTATAATATAGACATCCAGTGGGATTATACAAGTAGTATGCACTACAATGCAGTTCAGTGACAGCGCTATAAATGCTCCTCTAAGACTTCGAATATTTTTAATGGTAATTTTATGATAATATTAGAATCATATCTGCCTTTTTAAGAAAATTCCTGATACAGTCTATGATATCATTCTTCTACTGGTCTTCGACTAAAGAGGTTTGTTCAATTATAGCAAACCCCACTAGGATATATATCACAATTATAGCAAACCCGACTAACAAGTTGACCAACCTTGAACTAAAGACCTACTTGATGAGGCTAATTTCCACATTCAAATAGAACAATACCACTTAAAATTGGCTTCTGAACACTTATATATAATCCAAGGAAATATATTAAATATGAATGTTCGAATTCCAAAGAAGAATATACTGGAAAAATTTGGAAACATTTTGAAATTTAGAAAGCTGATAATACTGCATAGCATTGTCAGATACAATTACTTATTCAAGATTTCAATTGGCAATTTATATCGATTTTTCAACCTCTTCAATACAAAATCATAAAAAATTAAAAAACATCTATAAAAGGATCAGTTGCTTTGTCTAACAAACAAAAAAATAATAAATATAGCAGGTTTGTAGTTCGAAACCATTTTATTACGTAGTCTAGTTGGATTCATATTAACTACGGAGAAATATGCATACTATTGCACCTTTTCTTTCGACGCCTGTCGAAAGTAGTATAAGAGGTGCTTCAGACTTTCATTTCGGGAACTGTAGGAGTAGCTGATTAAAATGTTTACAACATGGAATATAGAACATGTCTTTCTGAAAGACTTTCACCAATTGCGAGGAATGGTGTACAGTTTGGAGAACAGAAGCGGGATAGACACCGATGCAGGTCTTTCAGACCCTAAAAATATCCAAACGTTTCGCGTCAAGAATCTGAAAACAGTTTAAAGATAGTACTGATGTATGCAGACAATCCGGCCAAAATCTAAAACATGCTGCAACATACTTTAAATCCTTATCTCGCAACGAGCAAAAAATAAATGAATAATTTATGCAACCCAGACTGCAAAGGAGTGGCCTGTAGTTACAAAAATTCGACTTCCTAGATATACGACGAGTGACGGGCTTCATAAAAAACTATATGCTAGGAAATGCATGCTTTGTATTCCACTAATTCGGGTTGAGAGATGCAGCCGGTTGCAGTGGTGCAAAGATCATCATGAACACAACTAAGGACTAGAGTTGAATTCTCTCTACTGATGAGTCTAATTTTTGTTTGGAGAATGCTTCCAGACGCTCTTACTATCTGGTTCCAGCAAAGCACACACACTAAGCCTAAAAATATCTGTGAAACGAAATCAATAGAGAGGTGGTGGAATCGAGGGATGGATGGCCAACCTTTTTCAATGGTCACACTGAATTGTACTTTTCTACCAGTGCAACTCTTAATTCTGAAATGTACAGAAATGAGATTCTTGACCCTTGTGTTGCTTTGGAAGACGATGCCCGTTCCCATCGGCCTATACTACTGGCTGATTATCTCGAGAGTGAAGGAATTCCAAAGGATGAAATGGAGCACATATTCTACGGATTTTAAATCCAATACAATATGGATTGGGACAAAGCTAGAAAGCCTATTTACGTTATTACAGCGCCCACTTATATCTTTCCAAAAGATTCAAGGCTCTTTCCATCGTTTATACACATTTTTATAACAGAAATTCTTAGACAATTTAATCCATAGCATAAAAAGAATCTCTGTAAAACTTTTGCATCGGACATGTCAGGGGGGAATAATACACCATATTTATGTTTTTTATACATCTCGGAAAAATTTTAACACAAATTTTCCCCTGTCCGACTTTATACCCTATGTTCTATGTTCTTAAATGTTTTCCGTCAGAAGTAGGTACTTTGCATTTTGAATATATGTCAGACGTGAGAAAATAAAAATATTGTGCAAATTTCATATGCTTAGCTGCAAAATCTTACAAAGTACATGAGTTCTTACAGTTGACCATTCTCTCTAGTGTACCTGTATTTTGCAAGCTTAATTGAACGGAACTGTGTGCAAGTTTTGAATATTCCTTATCTATTAATTCAATTTATAATATTCTAACTAATTTCACTGCTTTTATAGAAAAAGCTTTCTCAATGTTTCACCAAATTTGCAATCTACACTTTAAAGTAAAATTATAAATTGTTTAAACAGCTTAGTGATTATGCTTATTATTACTGGCAAATAGCATAAAACGAAATTAATGCTGCAATCGATTTTTACCGCGCAGATTTCAGTTTCGTGAAATTCTCAGTCTGATACTTATATTCCATTCATATGTGTAATTACTGTAAACTGTGTCATTGTTATGAATATTTTTACTTCAGCTGATATGCATATTTGATCCATAATCAGAGAATTGATTTTCTCTAAAACGTATATCGTTTACACAGCGTGAACACGCAGTTGCAAACTATTTTCATATAAACGATAATTTCCTGAAAGTTGCCGAGTTCTGGCACATGTTTTAGAACTTGAATTTCTTTCTTCAACCTTACTCTCATTATCTGTTTACTTTAGCTGCAGCTAACAAACACTGACTAAAAATGTAGCCTACCATAACTAGTAATAAAAATTGTAAACGAATGGCATTTATACATGGGTAATAAATGCATACAAATTCAGTTTCTGCAGTTACTTTTAGTTAATTTCTTTGTTTTCATTCCAAGAATCGATCCATCAGCGAACTTAAAAGAAAACATTCTTTGAAATTCTGTACATTTTTATCTACAAGACAAGATGAAATTACTGAGATATTAAAATTTCATCATTAGTTGTCCACATATATTCCCACAATTTCATCAAAACTTTGATGAAGAACACCCTGGGGTATAGATCCGATAGCCTCCCTTCCCAGATCCCATTCCATCAAGCCGCTTGAGAGGAACTGACACTCGAGAGTATTTTAAGTG